TAAAGAAAACACACTTTAGTTTGACTAGAAACAATACAACATGTTTAAGTAGGAAACCTTTAAGTGTAATGGCAACTCTAATAAACTACTATTTTAAACAGAATGGTGAACCCATGTAAGTGGCCTTAAATCAACAACAAAGACAACAATCTTCCACACCAAAAAAATAAATAAAATAATTGGCCAAAAAATGGGATAGGAATTCTTATTATTATATAGATAATGTAAACACTGCACAAATTCTGATAAAATGTTCTGTTTTTGAACGGAGAGAGGATGGAAATGAGATTTGAGTTGTCATTATTTTGACATTAGAGCTGCAGTGTTTCTGAGTCATGTTCTGATCTGATCTGATCTCTCTGTCTCTCTCTCTCTCTCTCTCTCTCTCTCTCTCTCTCTCTCTTTATTATACAAAACATAGAACAAGAATATATCAGTAAATAATTAACAGGTACATGAATAGTATATGCAAGTAAATAAATATAAGTAAACAACAATTATAATAACAAAAAAGATGAATAATAAATAAAAATAATAATAAAATAAATAAAAGTAAAAAGATTATGGTAATAATGAGAAGAGATATAAACATAAGAAATGCTCTTGCTTTAGGTATTTCTATTGGCTGACAGTCTGAGTTTGTGGCAGGCTGACACCTGTTTGGATGATGTTGGGATCATCTCTCTCTATTACTTTCCAGTTACTTCTAATTTTCTTGTCTAATAAAAGGGTGTGGTTGAAAACATAGAATCCTGTAAAACTAAATAGTACCAACTCCAGGGTAGTTCACTCATGATTAGTCGGTAGTATATATTAATAACAAGCACATAAATATTCCCTTGAAAACAGGGAAGGCTTCATTGACACTGCTTTGACCACAAATCAATGTTTAGCACCATGGACAGCGGCAGCACCAGAGCCATAAAATGGTCTAATTCTCCCATAGTACAGACAAAAATACCGACCATCCTGGATGCATACACACATCCATTCCTCAATTACACGCATTTCAGCTTATATTTTCCATCTATTATGTATCTTTTTATTTCGAATACAGATGCCTTTCACAATTTGACAATTTATCTCATTATCGCTGCATCATATTTTGTAGTTTTTGAATTAAAGTCCAATAATATTATCCGTTTTCCCCCACAAGTCCAAAGACATGCGCTATAGGTGAATTGAATAAGCTAAATTGTCTGTAGTGTTTGTGTGTGTATGAGTGTGTATGGATGTTTCCCAGTGATGTGTTGCAACTGGAAGGGCATCTGCTGCGTAAAACATATGCTGGATAAGTAGGCAGTTCATTCCACTGTGGCAACCCCGGATTAATAAAGCCAAAAAGAAAATGAATGAATGAATAGTACAATTTCATAAGTCGTATATTATTTATTTGATTCATTGTCTATTTAATTAACTAAACAACACACTAGTAAATATGTTTAATTACTGCTGGTTTGCAATTATATATGGCTAAAATAAACACAGTTTAATCTCATGTCCCAAAGTTAAAGTTATGTCCACATTATGACACTTGAGTGATATTCATTTATATTGACTAATTAGTTAGTAGCTAATTAAGGCTAAGATGCAGTCATTAATACAGTGCTCATAAAGGTAAGTTGACCCCCTATTCTAAAGTGAAAGTCATATAACTAATGCATAATTCAGGACCCTTAACCCTCTTGTTAACCATTATTTACTAGTGTTTTTGCTCTTTACTGATGCTTAACCGTGAAAAAGTTAACCATTAGTTGAGCATGAATTAATGCTTAACTAATGCATTATTTTGGACCTCAAAATAAAGTGTTACCAAAAATTCTATTGTCATTTACAGGTTATTTCAAACCTTTAAACCTTGTGTCATCTTTAGTGGATATTGCTTCGTAACAATCACAAAGACATTATAAATGTAATCCATACGAATCAATTGATAAATACATTTATCTGGCAATTTTTAACATTTTTATTGGCATATGGTTTCATAAACTTTTAAATCCAATGGAAACTTTAATTTTTTTAAAGGCTCCTCACATTGAGGACAAATGGTTATTATTTTAAGAAATAATGACCAAAACGTTTAATGTTTCTCTGTCAATTTATAAATTAAATGAATAGAAATAATAATCATTGTAATAAGTTCTTTAGATCATATTTAAGCTGATAATATGTTTATCTGTTCTATGCATGTTCTATATTGTGCTGAAAAGATTATGGATCTATAATAATGTTAAATATTGCAACAAAATATTGCAGGTTTATTTATTTTTTAGATTTATTACTCACACAAATTATAATACACAAATCTACTTTAATCTCATTGTAAGGGTGTTTGTTTAAGATGTTAATAAACTTGAAAGCATATGCTTTATGAGTTATGAGGCTGAATAATTACATTTTCTGTTTTTTTCTGAAATTTCGCTGAGATAATTGGCCTACTTAAACTGAATCAGAATTTATTTATTTATTTGTAATGAAAATAAGTGCATAAGAGAAAGATAAAACTCCCTGATTGAACCTGCAATTGTGTAAAGAGTGATACAGGGCTCCAGATGCACCTGCTCCCTCTAGCGTACACACGCACACACCGAGAGAGAGAGAGAGAGAGAGAGAGATAGACTCTTCACCTACTACACACAAAATGAGTTAGAAACCGATAACACTTAAAACAGTTGACATATTGAAACATCTTTTTTTAATCTAACACAGAAATTCCTACATCTATGAAATCCAAGGGTGTACAAACACTGATAACATACAGATGACAAATGATACTATATATATATAAATATTTGTAAGGAGTGTGTGTGTGTGTGTGTATATATATATATATATATATATATATATATATATATATATATATATATATATATATACATACACACTCCTTACAAATATTTTTTGAAACTTATAATTTTAGGAAATTTTTAGGAGGCTATATATTTGTGAACATACATTAGATTAGTCAGTACTGAAGCTAAATCTGGAGCTTATCTAACACAATAACTTAAGATACAATATAATAATGTATCAAAATATAATGAGAAAAAATCAAGAGAAGCCATTTTTTTATGTTGTTAAAATTTTGTGGTTTCTATTATTATTATTTATTTATTATTTTTTTGCAATATTTTGCTTGAATTTATTTGTGTTATCTTTCAATTTCTAAATATGTTTGGTGACTAAAATATCTGTTAATAAATCTGTTTTGTTTAACTACATCAAAATACATATTCACTGAGAAATGGATACAAATATTTATTTTTAAAATGGGGTGTTCTATATTATTAGGAATGTATACTGTAAATAAATATATTGTACGAGTATGGATACTAATATTTGGCAGCATAAGGCCTATTATCACACTTTTAAATCTGAAACAATTGCTAATAAACATTGAAATAAGCACAGCTTTTATAATGTTCGATAGGTGTTACATTTAGCGTAGAGATTTTAGACATTTGTGATTATATGCTGCTGTTAGCAAACTGACACATGCATATTTTATTTCTGCTTATCCTGTTATTATCCAAATGTCAAAACTCTCTCTCTTCATCAGTCTATTTTTCTCCGAGTTTTAGCATTTACACATGAATGCCTGTAGTGTTTCTGGTCTCTTTGCTCTTGCCCATGTGTTAAAACATCAGAATGTCCCTATCATCACAGCATGCACACACAGATAAGCACAGCCGTTTGATGAGAAAACAATAATAATGCAACAACAGCTGCTGAGCATGTGGGTATTTGTACACGTGTGTATACATCTAAATGTTAAATACGGATTCACACAGATGAAAGAGCTTTATCTTTCAGCTCCTGAGAGGTGTTTGTGTTTGCCTTGTATAATTAAAGTGAGATTTACGCCACCTTTTCATAAACACTCAGTTTGATGACGTCAGAAGCCAGGCTTTAACAATAGAACCTAAATTTGATCTATATTCTGGAGGCTTTTCCTCTGGCACTTTTTTAGTCACCTGCTCTTTATCAGCTGCTCTGCTTTTCTTGACACATAACTTTATGCTCCCCAGAAAGCATTTTTTATGTGTAATTAAGAGAAGATAACCTCCTTAGCCAGAGGCCATGTTTCTCTCTGATTTCCAGTGTTTCCTAGGGTGAAATGACAACATGTTCTTTTGTGATAAAGCTGACAAGGCAAGAGAATGCATTTGAAAAGAAATTGTAATTCTGTTGACATTTTAAATGACTGTGAATATGTCAGTTCTTAGTGCAGTGAATAAGAATGTAAAGACTTTTGTGGCTGCACAAAATAGCTGTAACTTATATTTACGATATACTTTTAATAACCTCAAAACAACTTAAAAATAAAAGAAAATTCTAATTATTTACTTACCCCCAGGTTGCTCTTTATATGTGCACCTTTCTTTCTCTGTGAAATACAAAAGAAGATATTTTGAAGAATGTTGTTAACAGCACATTTTCAGTTTCCATCATTTTTTTTTTTTTTTTTTTTTTTTGTGGTAGCCTATATAGATTTCAACTGTACAATTGGAGTTAGTGGGCAATTAAAAGTACACGTTATTATTTCACAATCCAAACCTGTTTGACTTTATTTTTTTCAATTAAACATGCAAGCTTGTATACAAGTGTGATTTCCATTTGGTCTTGTTATAGTAAAAAATTATATTAATTAATTATTAATATTATTATTATTTTATGGCTTGATTACCATTTAAAGACAATTTTACTATAGTTAAACTGTGGTTAGTGTCGCAAAAATTGTTTTTGAAGCCATTGTTTATTTGTAGCCTTATACACGTGCAATTCCCTATGGAAACGAACAGTAGCATTTTCCCAAATGCCTCATTTTGTCTTCTGCATGCAGACAATTGTTTAATAGGTGAAGAGTAGATGACACTTGAGTGAACTACCTTTAAAAAAATGAAGTATAAAAGACAGTGTCAATGTGCGTCTCATTAATGACACTTGCTTAAAGACGCGCGTGGAGAAGGATGCGCGCGCCCAGGGGGAGGGACGAAACCAAATCCGCCTCACGCGCTTTCTGCTCGCGCAGAGCTCAACTCAGGCGCACCAACGGGACCCAAAAACATATTTTCTACAGTTTGTTCCTTCTTGATTCGTACACGAATTTGCTACTTTGTTTTGGAAAGGGAGACGGTCTCCCTACCTGCGACGTCCGATGAATTCTGCGGGGAGAGTCACTTTGTTTTTTCTTTTAATTGCCCTGATAACGCAAGGTAAGTTCCAATGTATTCAAAATATTTATGCATTTATTGATTGCAGTGACTGTGAAAAGAGGTGTCACTTGTTTGTCTTCTCTTGCGCCCACTGACCCAAATATAGCCTACTTGCGATCAAGGGAAAAGTAGTGTGAATGTCGTAAACTATAAGCAATCGCTTTCTTTTGTCCCACCAAGTTTATTTAAGGACATTTCAGTTCTCGTGATGCTTTCAAAGAAAAGTTTCTTTTTAAACGTGTTTGACTTTTTTTGTCTGGAAGTATACGGCAGAATGACAGCCTCAGTCAAATTACTGTCATCGTGTGAAAACGCCAGTTGAAGTAATTGATTGCTGTCAGTCACTTCAGAATTGAACACCCCTTTGGATTCCATTTAAGGAATGAAGAAAAAAATGTATAGAAAAACAAGGTATATTAAATGATGACAGGGTATTTAAACAAACCATCCCTTTATGTGACATATACGCATACTGCAGTGTGCATGTGAATTAGTAACAGTCTGTTTGAGTGTCATTGAGACACACTTCGCGTCTGTATGTGGGTTAGTAATTTGTTTTTGATATTAATCTTAAAAGCGATTAAAGCCAAGCATTTACACGCAGTTAAATCCATTCTTCACGCCGCTGCGCGCGCGCGCAACGCGGAGTTTTCAGGCGCATATTCGTCTCGCTCGGAAGACACTGTAACTGCGGGGAAACCGACGGCTATTTTAGACAACAACGCTAGCACAATTTTGCTTAATCGCTTTAAAGCCATTTATCAGCGGAAACCGGTAGGTGAACCCAGAGGTTCTACTGTGGTAATGAAATGCGAGTTATTCATTTTCCACTTTCGTCAACACCGCTTGTGCGTCAGAGCGTTGAAATATTTAAAGTCTTGTCGACTCACTGAAAGCTGTTTACGTAAAGTTTGCAACAAGTCCACGTTTAGTCGCGATCACGTTTTGTCACTGAATGAAATGCCCTGTCTGCTTTAAGCTTTCCCTTTCATCTCGCTTGGTTTAGCTGGTAAATCTGTATCCAAATAAAATACAAGAGGCTTCACTTTTTGTCACTGCCATGCATCTGTGTCACTCAGCAGTGAGTCATTTAGGAGGTAAAGTTAGAAACTGGCAAACACGCTGCTTCATTCTGTTGAGATTTCACATGCTGGTCTGAGTTTAGAAAAGAGAAGCTGACTGTGGATGAACTCGATTTCAACTCCAGCTTTATGTCATTCTTGCTGCAAGTGTTCCATCTATGTTGGACTGATCACATACTGTAGGCCACTGCATGAAGTGAGGAGGAGGAAACAGACAGACCAAGACATGTTAGGAGAAAGACACCAGAGAAGCTAAGAAAAGTTTCTCAGAAGACATGAACAAATGTATAGTTTTGGGGACTGCGATAGGGTGCATTGGAGAGCTTATATTATATCCCAATCATTTTTGCATCATTGATTTGCAGTGGAACAGTGATTTAATAATCCATTCATTGTAATCAACAAAGATTAACAGTTTATAAGCTAAAATCCCTCTGATGAATGATTGTTCAGTCAGGAAGCAAATATTGTTTATAAACTACTGTATATTTAGTTTATAAATTGATTAAATGGTTAAAAACAAGTGGTCATTCTTAACTAATCTATTGTAATTGTGATCTGAACAACAAAGACAATTAAAAGTACTGACAAAAAACATGAATGTACATTAGAAGGGCTATAGTGACACAAACACAGTTTTGTTTTGATTGTTTGCAGTGAGACTGAATGGAAATTCTCATAAAAAACAAAAAATAAAAAAAAACATTTAGTTTAAAACTATTTCGCCTCATAGACCACTGCACTGAAAAAATAAGCTTTTTTAAATTTTTACGTTTCTGTCTTGTTTCTAACCTAATTATCTTTTTAGATATCTATTCTTGAATGAAGAAGTGTTTTTAACAATAAAAAGCATTGTATTTTATTAAGAAATAATAAGTCAAATATAGAGTTTTCCTTAATACAAGCAAATTAATCTCACAGTGGTGTAGGCAAAATAATCTTATTTCAAAGTGATTATTTTGCTCAAACCATTGGCAGATTACATTGCATGTATAAAACAGCATATATATTTTTGAGCATGAAACTTCCCCTTTTACCACAGTAAAACCCAAAGTGTCTTCTCTCCAATGATACCTAACTTGTGTTTGTAGCTTACTGGAGTCAAGAACTGTTATTATTTAAAGTTAGGTAGGTGTAAATCCTCAAAAGGGAGTGCTGGCTAACAGGTTAAAACACCTTCATTTAATTACAGTCTGTCTATCCATCTGAAATAAAATGTTGACCTTATAAACCTAACTACATCAATAACCTTGCCTCTAACCTTAATCATATCACACATAATCAGCAACAAACAAGTTTACAAAACACTCTCACTCACTCACATTTATCCTTTGGCTTAGTCCCTGATTTATCAGTGGTCTCCACGGCAGAATGAACCAGCAATTAGTGGAGTGTGGCGAGGGTTGCAACATGGGGGAGTTGCAACAAGTATTATTCCTCTATTCAGCAATGAGCTTGAGTAATGATATTCACACTACATATACTACATTTCTCAGTTGAGATATCAGAATCTGAGAGAAATCAGCCATATGTTACCCTTTCTTCAGTATAAAGCTAATTTATGGTTCTTCTTTTGCTGAAAAAATATCTCATCCGGTCTAGTCTGTTTTTGTGAAACATTATTCATTCTTATAATGTAACTAATTTAACTATAATTTTCTTAGCTTTAAATAGGTGTAGCTATCAAGCGTTAAAGCTATTTAAAATACAATTAAAAATACAATTTAAAAGCTTGCCACATTAACAATGTACAATTTTAATTTAATCACAGTTAAATGTAATTTAATTTGAAAAAAAAAAAATGAATTTGTTTTCCAAATTATTCATTTCAATGTCCTAAGAAGTATAAGTAAAGGTTCAGGCTAGATTTTTGGTAAACAAAATAAAAATAAATAAATAAAATAAAAAGTTGGTAACACTACAATAACAGTACATGAATAATGATGTGTTAATATGTAATTTAAACTTTACTTTATTATAGACTAATGATGAGTGAATGCATGCACTAATCATGAACTTTAACTACAACATGAGTTCATGTGTGAATAACGGCTACTTAAATGACTTGTTAGTACATGCTTGTTTGTTAATTAATGTATTAATTACCACATTAGTTTATGCGTAATTTAACCATATTGAATTTATGGTATGTTAATGTATAATTATGTCATGACTTTACTTGTAGGGGCACATCACCATTCTTAATACTCATGAACTCCTAATGCACATTCGGCATGCGTTTACACTAAATAACAGTAGAAAAGTGTTCAGTCAACATCAACAGATTAAACGCAGGAGTCCATGAATAGTTATTGGTGGTGGGCCCCTCCAAGTAATGTAACCAGCTCATGAGTTCATGATGGTTACATTTAGCTTAAACTTAAATGTTAAAAGAAAACATGTATTTAACAGTAATTAAGGTAGCCGTTAATCACACATGAACTCATGTGACTCATGCTGTAGTTAAATTTAGTTCATGATTAGTGCATGCCTTAACTCACCATTAATTTATAATAAAATAATGTTTAGCTTTCATATTAATACATCATTATACATGTACTGTTATTGTTAAGTGTTAACTATATATTTTCAGTGTTTTAGACCTGATAATTGGTTGCTGCTTGTTCTTTTATTAGTTTGTATTTGTATGGTCAATTTAAGCAATTTACATTTAGTCTGTTTACAATATATATATATATATTATCACATTTAAATGAATGTTGCAGCTGTCTCTGTGGGTTCACCCTGCTCGTTACAACGTTTGACTTTGTCAATTCTACATATATTACCATATGTACAATTTATAGCAATATGGGTGGGTGTCCAATAGATGTTGGTTTATTATATTAAAATTTTGCGATTCTACAAAAAACTGTCTCTGAGAAACCTGAAGGAAATGCAAAGTGTTGCAACTGTCCCACCTCTCCCCTACTCTGGCATATGTTTTATGCATTGGCCGCAAAAACATTCATTTTCTTTTTGGCTCAGTCCTTTTATTAATCAGGAGTCGCCACAGCTTACCAACACCACCAACACCAACTTACCCAGCATAGCTTTCCACTTACACAGCGGATGCCCTTCCAGCCGCAACCCAACACTGGGAAACTGCCATACACTCTTGCATTCACACATATACACCACGGCCAAGCTTATTCAATTCACCTATAGTGCATGTCTTTGGACTGTGGGGGAAACCGGAGCACCCGGAGGAAACCCACACAATCACGGGGAGAACATGCAAGCTCCACACAGAAATGCCAACTGACCCAGCTGGGGTTTGATCCTGTGACCTTCTTGCTGTGAAGCCATCGTGCTACCCCCTGCACCACAGTGATGCCCTGCCACAAATAAAAAATAAATAGTGTACATTACAATCATTTTTTTGGCCATTAAGTACATAGTAGTTTAAGACACCAAATATAAAGTAGGATCATTTTTTTAACCTGCCTGGAAAAAAAAAAGTTTTTTTGTGACTCATATGGATGTGTTCTTATAATAAAAACATTCCAGTGATATTTCCACTGTCTTTGTCACTATGTACAAACAGGCAACTTATAATTGATATTGATTTGTTTGTTCACACCAGATGTTATAATGCACTGAACTACTGTAAAACCCATAGCTTTACTCGCAAATAACCAATGTTAGATTCTCCCAAGATCTCCGGGGTGGAACATCCTCTGGGTAGGACTGCTCTTTTATCCACTCGAGCGTCCTTTTTCAATAGCTTCACATCTGTGTTTTGGTACTGAGGAGAGAAATCAATGTGGTTCCAGCAGAGAAAACGGTTGTGGGAGCTAAAGCCCTCTGCTTCAAAAGAGAAGGAGAAAGAAAGTAAACAAAAGAAAGCGAAAATGATTCCCCACACCTTGAGAAGAGGTGTAAAGACGTTTTTGAATTGTTCCTCCTTTTTTTCCC